AATGATAGTTTGGAAAACCGGCAATGTATATAGAGATACTGTATATCTCTGACTGGAGATATACAGTATCCTTCCCTTGCCACGCAGAAATGAACTGGCTTAATCATTTGAAGAGGATTGGATTTCTTATTCTTAAATACAATTAATATAAATACATTATTAAAAATATGTCTACATCCCATGGAAGTCTGGTCTGTGAGTCTAATTAAGTTTACTATTTTCAAAGACACTTTTTATCAATCAAAAAATATCTCTTCAATTAAAGAGATTTTAAAAATCACTGTCCTTTTTTCCCATTTGAAATCCTAATATCACAATCTTGTCAACTTTTTCCCCTGTAATTTAAAATCCTTTAAGATAGATTTTTTCTCTCTTAATTTCACAAAAAAACACTCATCAAAATTCTTCATTACTGTTCAGAATATCTCTCTTATATTGCAAAGCAATTGAAGTAAGAAGGCAAAGCTTTTGCCAGTTAAAAAAGGTTGCATCAGTGGTGGGATTCAAATTTTTTTACTACTGGTTCTGTGGGTGTGGCTTTGGTGGGTGTGGCAAGGGAAGGATACTGTATATCTCCAGTCAGAGATATACAGTATCTCTATATACATTGCCGGTTTTCCAAACTATTCAAAATTTCCGCTACTGGTTCTCCAGAACTGGTCAGAAGCTGCTGAATACCACCTCTGGGTTGCATAGTGATTCAGGGCATGTTGTAAACCCTTGACTCTCAAGCTATTCAATTCACAAGAAACAAAATTCCTTCAGTTTTTTCCAAGATTCTGGCTATTTCAATCTAGGTGTGCTGTGTTGCAGTGTTGTCTTCTGAGTCTGTAGGTGTAAAGAGCAATGTGACATAAAATGAAACCATAATTTCATCTTTATCTCTGGTCAGGTATTTGATTCTTTGGAGACATTATGGTGGGGGAGTTGATAAAATATTTGCTTCTGAGATATCCAAGCTTTTTTTTAATTAATTGGCAATGTTATAGATTGGAATCTCTGGTAACAATATAATTGGACAAAGAGGCTTGTCTAACTTGCGTGTTTGGGGCATCCACAGAATCATGGGAGGACAAAGCAGTCATTCATTTCTGATGTTTGTACTACTGTTGTTCTATGATGTTAGTTATAAAACCTGAACTTCTGCCACTTGTGCCAGATTTACCACCAGGAGTTCACTTTTAAATGTTTGCTTTTTCTTGCTTCAGCTCTGTTTAACAGAAAGTATTGATGAGAACATCATTTGGACCCCATCCTACTCCCCAAAGCCATTAAGTCACTGTGGATATTTTGAAACTTGACTCACAGTTCATTTTCACTCGTATTGGTGAGTAGAAAGGTTTGTGATTGGCAACTCCAATGAGCCTGATCAGTCTTTCTGAAACATTTTATATGTGCACATCTGGAAGACAGTTCAGGTAGTCCTCAACTTACAACAGTTCATTTAATGACTATTCAAAGTTACAATGATGCTGAAAAAAGTGACTTATGACTGTTTTTCACCCTTATGACCATTGTAGCAGCTTGATGGTCATGTGATCAAAAGTCAGGTGCTTGGCAACTGACTCATATTATGACAGTTGTAGTGCCCCAGGGTCACACTTTGTGACCTTCTGAAAAGCAAAGTCAAGCAAAGACAATAATCTGGAGAAGCCAGATTCACTTAACCACCATGTTACTAACTTAACAACTGCAGTGATTCACTTAACAATGGTGGCAAGAAAGATTAAAAAACGGGGCAAATTTCACAACCACTGTCTTGCTTAGCGACATAAATTTTAGGCTTAATTGTGGTTGTAAGTCAAGAACCACCTGTATTGAGATAAAATATTTGGATGACTGATGTGATATTCTTTCATTGCAAACCAACTGCAATTTTCCTTTTTTATATAAAATCATACATTCAAATTTTCTCATCAAAAACAACTTCATCAATTTTCAGAACCCTACTCTATACTTCACAATACAATCTACCCAGCATTTGCCAAAAATCTTTTGGGTTCTCCACAGTACATAGAATATACAATAATATTGTTGTAAGGGACCTTGGAAGTCTTCTAATCTAATCCCCTGCTCAAACAGGAGACCCTATACCAGTGTTGGTCAATTTTTTTGGTACCAACTGCTGAAACGGGAGCGTGTGTGCTTGGGAGAGTGCCAGAAACTGGAAGAGCAGTTCCCTGGTGCATGCATGTGGGAGCACCGGAAACTGGAAGAGCAGTTCCCCAGTATGCATGTGGGCACCAGGAAGTTGAGCTTCTGGTTTCCAGGGCATGCATGCATGCATGCTGGTCATCTGGTCTTCTGTTTTGTGGTGTGCATGCGCATGTGAAAATTAGCTGGTCGGCACTCATGGACATGCCGGAAACCATAAGAGAAATGGACGATGGCTGATGTGCCCGGAGAGATGGCTCTGCATGCCGCTTCCAGCACACATACCATAGGTTTGCCATCACATCCCTATACCATTCCTGACAAATGGCTCTTCTTAAAAACTTCAGTGATGGAGCATCCACAACTTTGGGAAGCAAACTGTTTGAATGATTAATTGTTCTCACTGTCAGGAAATTTTTCCTTAATTCTAGATTAGACCTCTCTTTAGTGATCTTTCCACCTGTTACTTCATGTCCTGACCTCAGGTGCTTTGCAAAATAGGTCAACCCCATCTTCTCTTTGACAGCTTCTCGGGTATCAGATTTAAAACAAAATGATTCACATTCTCGATTCAACACAATTTTAGTTTCACCAGTAGAGTATTGCATATTTATTAACATTTAACAAGTTAACCTTGTGACTGCCTAAAATTTTCTTGGCAAGCTTTTGTTTTTTAAAAAAATGTTTAATATTGGCTGTTTCCTAGGGTTGAAAGAAAATTACTGGCCCAAGGTCATTGACTTTATGCCTAACTCATGGTGCCCTTGTTTCTAGCCCGGTGCCAAAATTGCTAAACCACTAACCAAAATTACTCTCATTCATTTATTTACACTTAATAAGCTAATCGTTTTGTGGTTTTTGTATTTGCCTGTTACCTTTTCCATTATACAGGGAACAATAACACCATGCTTCTATTAGTGCTATTTTAATAATACCAAATTTCTAACATCTATTAGTCACTAATTCAACCTTAAGTGCACATTAAACAATTCACAAAAACTGAGCTGGCTCAAATTCAGAACCACTCATTGATCTTGAAGCCCTCACTAAGTGTTCACTAATCCTACATCAATCTTTCACTATTAGCAGTCTGGTTAATCATCCTTAATATGCAAGTGTACTATGAATAGACTTATGCTGAAACCAGGTGTTCAAAATAAACATCTGTTTTTTTATAAGCAGATTCTTGCCATTCTCATTTGTTTTCAGGACTCCAAAAGTTTCAATTGCTTCTGGGAACTTTTTCCCACTTTCACTTATCCAGAACATATTTCCACCCCATCTCAGTCATTTCAAATGTTGCGAAATGTATTTCTGATTCTTCCATTAATGCTATTCATTGCAGCAAAATGTGCAACTAGGGCCAGCCATTTAATTCATACTTTAATATGCAATGACTTTGGTTGCACTGATTTGTGTAGTCTGACAAGAAATTAGTTGAACCCACATCTTAGTGTAGTGTGTGTGTGTGTGTGTGTGTGTGTGTGTTTGTATGTATTCATCCACTTCACAAGATAAGGTCACTTCATTTAGATCTTTCACCATTTTTTTCAGTTTTATGTGTACACAATTTCCCTATTTTCTTCTTCTTTGGGTTGGTAAATATATTCTCTTTAGTGTTTTCTCTGATTCACTCCAAATCTCAATATTCAATGTATTGAGGACATTACCAGATGGCTCATAGATATTGACCTCTACTATCCATCATGCTTTTTGGGTAATATACAAGTAGTCTTATAGGCATACACAACAATGCTTATCATCTATTAGCAAGGACAATAACAATGTTGATGATTTTGGATAGAATTCTATAGGTACAACCAAAGTCCACTTCTACCCTGGCAGCTTACATAATTTTGTGCAAAATTGTCATAAATCACTTTTTGCGGTGCTGTTGTAACTTTAAATGGTCACTAAACAAATTAGTAAGTCAAGAACTACCTGTATATTTATTAAAAGGCAGATGGCTAAAGTGGCTCAAGTGCTAGACTAGAAATTTGGATTTGTGATTTCCAACTGTCTCTTAGACAAGAAAGCAAGATGAGTGATTTGGGGCCAACTGTTCTCTCTTAGGCAAACTCATTTATTACTTTCTTTTGTTTTCTTCTTTTCTTTTGTTATAGTTTATTTTATTATTTTATAGTTTTGTTCTGTTTTATTGTTTTGTTTTGTTTTTTAATTTTTACATGATTCTAGACAGCTAACAATTAAATACAAAATAGAAGCAATAAAAAGAATAAATAATATAAATAGCAGCCAAGCAACAAACCTATAACAACATTAACAATCAACTAGGTGAAGAAATGGGTTCATCCACATCATAAGGGGTTAGATTCGATGTTGTTGTTATTCTGAGGAAAAGAGGACATAGGAGTATTAGCTATATAAGCCATCCTGAGATGACCCAAAATAAAGGTGAGCTAAAAAGAGGTAGGAAGAACTAAACTGTATTGACATTTGGTAAATCCTTAATGAAAATCACCTTATACTAATTCTATCCCTTGCATAAGAGTCTTATGTAAAATAATGAAAAGAGCATGGATTAAAGAAACATTGTTTTATTCAGTATAGAGAATTGTCTGGAAATAAAGCTGGGATAAGCAGGAAGGAATTTTGACTTTCTATGATCCATCACAATCTTCTGCAATAGTGCAATAGGAGAAAAATGGCCTCCAATGTAGGTGTAATAGCTTTAGGACAACCATGAACAAAGATACTCTACCATAATTTTCAGGTAGTTTAGGCAGGTACCTTAAGCTTGTCTCCACTTTCTAGTGTGGAAATAATCTCTAGGTGGGCAGGAAATAGATACAAGAATATAAATGACATCACAAAATCAAAAGAAAAAGCTGCTGTTAGCTGAATGAAGTGACTGAAGGCAAAAGACGCTTTTCCAAAAATAGTAAGCAAAAAGAAATATGGGGAGTGTGTTTGTGTGTGTGTGTGTGTGCATGTGTGCGTGCGCGTATGTGCCTTCCATATGTGAAGGGTGGAGAGCAAATGGGAATTGCTTGTCCATACTTTTATTATTGTCCTTATTTTGCTGAGATCAAGGCCTTTTTCCAAAAGCAAATGCTCTTGCTCAGATAACTGGTGGGCTTCCAGATATTGGTGAATTGCCACATTCAATATTACATCACTGGGGTTGTGGTTGGATTTTCTCCAGCTGTGTTGCTCCAGTCCTTTTATCGGAGATGGTCGTCAGATGGTAAGACATATGACATTTTTTCACCACCGCCATCCATAAAAAAAGCCATGTTGTCCAACGATACATAATATGCTTAGATTGTTCACATTTCAAGATTTCCTTTTTTATTTTTTATTTAGCATTATTATAGTAAGATATTTAAAACAGAAAAAAATGAAAAATAATTTTTAATAGATTTAGGAACAATACAAGATTGAAAAATTATTTCAAAATAACATTAACATTGATGCCAATAAAATATTGTCTCCTTTTAAGACTTCAGAACATTATTGAATATGATAAATATGCAATAATTAGCATCAATCACAGTATCACTATAATGTGAGTCAGCAATTTAAAAAATAACAAAAAAGCCTGTGTAACACAAACATTATTTTCTTCTTTAATGAATAACTTAGATATTAAAACCTTATATTCAAAGAAACCCAAACTTTGACTACAGACAAGGTCCATGTGTACGGTTATAATCTACAAATAGTATTAGAATTAAAGAATGGAATTAAAGTCTGTATCAAACTTATTTTCAAAGATAAAATTATTTTTTATGTTGATGTATAAACCCACAATTTAATTTGCCATTTTTCTACAGAGGAGATTATTTCAATATAAAAACCTATCATAGTATATTTTATGAAAATATAAATTAGTTATGCTGAGCAGAAAAAAGTGGAAGTTTGAAAGAGAATTCAATCTCTTTCAAAAAAAAAAACCCAAATGGCACAAAGCCAGCCTATTTGTGGGACTGCCTTTCCCTAAGAATATCTACTTGCCCTACCAGGTTAGACATATCATGTTAAACTATATACTCACATGGATATACTGTATGTGTAACTTTTTATGTTGCTAATAGACAACAGTATATTTGGATAACCTAATATCTAGTAATTGCAGCCCTGGAGCAGAAAAAAAATTAGATAAATCAGCATTGCTGTTGTCTGACAAGGGACTCATTTCCTAGGCTATTCCTCTGGCTATTTTTGTCCCTGCTCAGCCAACAGTCACAGTAGCTGCAAAATTGAGATCAAGTCCTTGTTCATTGCAATGTGATCTAACCAATGAATTCAATTCTCCTTTTCTAACCACTTGCTCACAATTTGTTGTTTAGTTTCTTCCCCATCTGTCTCAGAGGCAATACATTTGGTTCAGTGGCAGCAATGGCCCTCTGAAGCAGCCAGATGCCTGAGATGAGCTCAAATTTTACTCCATACATCTTCCTAAACAAGCTGAAGACAAAGTTTTAGTTTGTGAATCCATTTGATTGGAATTTTATGCTTTGTTTATGTGTTATTTACTCTTTGATATATTTTATTTTATTATAAACCACTGAGAGTTTGATTAGACTGCAGTAAGATAGAATTTTAGTACATGGATACATTTAAGAGAATAATGTTAGGGACATAATTGTAATTCCAAAATAATTTTCATTGATCATACCACATGTGCCAAGTAGTTTTGTTTAGAATTTTAGACAAAGTCAAATAAATAGACTATGTCTGATTAGGAAAAGCCATTTATTATCAGTTTTATAACAAGTATTTAGAACCTATAAAACCTATAAAAACCTATAAAACCTATAAAAATTAAGTACAATAAAATGGTTTAAAAAGTATGAATTTAATTTAAAAAGAATAGTGATGTGTTTGTTTACGTTTGTAAGACAAGCTGATAAATAACACCATTTATCTCGCTCAAAATAAACCATGATTTTCTTTCTCTGTTTTTTCTGTTTGACTTGAATGAAAGGAAAGCTACTCTGTTGAATACATCAGAGTATGAATCTGTGACATGGTTTCTTCACATGCTAAAAGACTGGATTGGTTTTGGTTACATGGAGGACTTTGTGAACTCTGTACTTCAGCCTCTATTGATATTACTAGTATTTTTTCTGCTTATATATTATGTACCTTCAGGTATTGTTTTAATTTGCTATGCATGCACATCTTGTTTATATATTTGGAAGAAAAAATATAACATAAAAGGAAATGTCTACAATGAATTATGGAACAAACCAAAGCAAAGGATAGCAAATTTGGTGACTTTATGTGGAAAGATGGGATGGTAAGTAGTTACTTGAATAGTCCCAAGATAATCAAGAGGGCAGACAATTTATTCCAGCCAGAGTCTTCATTTGTATGTGGCCCACAGGTTTCTTGAAACAATGTGCTGTGTAAAATTTGTATTATCAATTTGATATTTGCATCTAAATGGTGCCACATAAATATAGTCATAAGTGGTAATTGACTCAGGTAATTGTTCATCCTTCCGAGGTGGAAAAATGGGGACCCAGTTTGTTGGGGGCTGTACGCTGACCCTGTAAACTTCTTAGAGAGGACAGTAAAGCATTGTAAAGTGGTGCATAAGTCTAAGTGCTACTGCTATTGCTACAAATTATATTCATATACAATGTTTTATTTCCTCCATTTTTTTACAGGTATAAAACTATGTCTTGATGTAGTAGGTTGCACTGAAGGCAAGCAAACATTCTGTGCTGACATTCTGGAGAGAGGCTACTTACTAGGAATAGCACCTGATGGTTTGAGAGAGCAAAATTTTAGTAATGAAAACTAAAATCTGGAGTGGAGTACCCATAGTGGATTTGCTAAACTGGCTTTAAAAAACAAAGTGGTAAGTGATCATGTACAAAGAGATGATCTATAAATGTACTTTAGTAATGTTGGAGTATTCTCTAAAAGTTATAGATGGAGCCACCTATGATAACGACTTGGAAACTAAATATAGTCTGGAATGTGGCTCAACCAGCACCTTGTTTCACCCTTCTAACACCTCTGCTTTAGGAGTTGCAGTTCTGAGTGCAAACCATGCTGCTTCTTGTCTCCTGTAAAGCCCTAGATCCTCGATGGTGAACCTATGGCATGCGTGCCAGAGGTGGCACACAGAGTTCTCTCAGTGGGCATGCAAGCTGTCACTCCAGCTTAACTCTGCCGTGCATGGGCACATGCCTCCCGCTGGCCAGCTGGTCTTCGAGTCTCTGCCGCACATGCATGAGGGTGGGGCTCATGTGCAGGGGATAGCTGCATGTGTGGAGGACCTGTGTGCATACATGGGGGTGGGGATCATGTGTGGGGGGACACATAGGGGGGCACATGTGCAGGGGACATGTGCATATGTGGGGAGACATACAAACATGCGGGGAGCAGGGCACATGCAGGTGTGGGCCACATGCACGGGCCCCATGTATATTGCATTTTGGGGATGCGCACGCACATGCTTTGGGCACTCAGTGCCAAAAAGATTAGTTATCACTACCCTAGTCCAGGGGTCACCAACCTTTTGGACCTCAGGGACCACCAAACTCATAATTTTAAATCCCAGGAACCACTAACTGGTTCTGTGGGCATGGCCTAATTTGTGGGTGTGGCTTGGTGGTCATGTGACTGGCTGGGCATGGCTTGTATGTAAACATAAATATTTATATAAATATTGATTTTTTAATAAAAAGAGCAACTTTTATCCAAAATCAGGCAAAGCAGGCAGGCAGATTGAGTTGCTCACCTAATCACAGATTCATTCAGAGATCTATCTGCCATTGGCTAGCTCAATCTGTCACATAAAATTTGCTTGCAAGCAAACTCATAAAATTTGTGAGCAAGCAAACTCACAAAATTAACTCACAACACACCATGTATGTAAATATTGAATTTTTTTATTTTAAAAAGGCGTAACTTTTACCCAAAATCAGGCAAAGCAGGCAGGTAGATTGAGTTGCTCACAGAATCACAGATTCATTCAGAGATCTATCTATCTGCCATTGGCCAGCTCAGTCTGTCACATAGAATTTGCTTGCCGTGAATCTGCACTGAACCTTCAAGATCTAAAGACTAGCTAGAAAGCAAGAAATCCAATCATTTCCTGCTTCCTAGCTAATCTAAATCTCCTGGCACAGCAGAACAGCTGATGGTCTGAAAAAGGAGAAATAGCAATTTAGCAGGCAAGTTTGCCAGGTAAGGAGTGAGTGGGCGGGGAGGGTTTCCGCGGGCCATGTGGGTGGCGCAGCCTTGTGTTCCTGTGCAGCCTGGATTAATTGCTTTGGGAAGATGTTCTGGGGGTGAGATTCCTCTGCTGCCCACCAAACATTTTTCGCAGCCCACCAGTGTCAATTGCTGCCCTAGAAAGTTTAGGTCTGTTTTTTTTTTAAATGCCTTTTTGCAATTATCTCTACTTGCCCTACAAAAGCAAAGAAGTGATTATTCAGTGCCACCTTGTGGGATCTCAGAGCCATGCTCTCTCTGTTGCCATTTGGAATGTTATCCTCTTGGAGGTTTTTCTGGCCCAACCTTAACATTTTTTTGAAAAGGTGTAAAACTTGGCGTTTCAGAATCCAATGTAATTTGTGAACCCAACACATGAAAAATGTTTGATTGTGTTTTCTCTCTCCAATGCTCTGTATTTATTTATGGAGCTTTGATTGTTTTACACTGCTTTAATGCTACAGATAATTCTTGTTTAACAGCTCATCATTTTATCACTGTTCAAAGTTGTGGCAGCCATGGAATGGGTGCTTTCTAGCCCATAAAGAATATCCGGCAATATAAATGGTCGCACTTCTCTTCTGAGGTCATGTCATGGCCTATTAGGCATGTCATCTTTAGGACTCAGCACAGCATTCCACAGTCACATGAGTCTAGTTTACAAAGTTTTTTTTTTTTTTGCTGTTTTCTAGCATTTTTTGCTAACTTCGAGCAAAAACCAATAATCCCTTAATGACTGCAACATTTGCTTAACAACCACAATGTTTGTTTAATGACTGCCATGAAAGTCTCAAAGGTGCTTTTTCAAGAGGCAACTGGACAACTTTGTTTTTCCTTGATGACATTTCACTTTTCCAGCACTTTTCAAGCAACAGGTAAGAGATGATCTTGATGGAGTTATGCCGGCTTCATTGTCAAGGTGACAGGGAGCAAAATATATATTTAAATCCTCAATAGATAGATGTAAAAAGTTCAGACACCTCCCTAATTCACTGAATTATAAATAAAAGAAGAACTACAATATAATCAGACTCTGGAATTCATGTCAGACAAATCTGACATTCATTTTTAGATTTATGGATTATAATGCTATGTATGGCTACATGCCATATCAGAAACTGGTTTCTCTTAAAATAAAGATATTAAACTGTTTAATTATTTTTATTATACAAATGAATTAGTTAATTTAGAATTTGAAATAAAATAGATGTGAAGATCTGAATAGAAAAGAAGCTTTGGTGCAACACAAGAAACACAAATAGTGATGGGTTTTGCCTGCCCCCCTCCACTCCTAGAACAATTTTCCCATTTTGCGCTACTGTCTTCTGCTTATTGTGCAATTTGGGTGTTGGATTGACATCTCCTATTTGAGAAACATCTGGCAGCTGTCATCAGGAGGGCCTTTGCACAACTTCATCCTGTTTTCCAACTGCAACTGTTCCTGGACTGGGCATGGCATCCCAGAAATTGGGCTGACTAAACAAGCAAATTCCCATACATGACACGACAGGAGTAATATACCAATAATAAAATATCTTCTGCCATTTCTCTCTATATGCAATATTCACAGAAAATTTAATATTTATTTCTATTATATTGTCATTTTGCAGAACAAATGAAGATGTTAAGGTTCTATGTATGGAGTATGGAGGCTGAGGTGGTGGGCAATTTAGCTTCATTATAAGTAGACAAAATCAGAAAAATCTAGCTTTTCCATTCAGAGTTGCTGAGCAGACAGCTTCTTCTGCAAGAAGTCTAAGTCATTAGGAACTCCAGATGTGGGAGTTCAGAAGGGCCACACAGAGTGGAAAGCATAAATTAAAGAAGACATGTAGATAGAAGATTGTGCTCCATCACAATTCTGCAAAACATCTTACACCAATTATCTTGTTGAAAAGAGACCATCTGAGATTGTGGATTTGGGGTTTTCATGAGCTGTAAGCCATAATCGTCACAATTATGACAAATCATGGCTTGAACTATCTTGCATTGCATGTAATGAGTCTATATCAAATATTAGTTTCACCTTTTAAGTTGCATACTGAAATAAATGAACTTTTGCACAATATTCTAATTTTTTGAATTTCACCTGTAGAGTGTATTCCAGAGAGGCAGTGGTGAGGCCAACCATCAGAATAACAAGGTCTTCCTGCTCCATGTACAACTGCAGATATTGCATCAACTGAAGATGGGCAAAGGTGACCTAACTCTGAAGGTTTGTGACTTCACTTATCCAGGTAAAAGAAGTATACATGATGAACACATTGGCATCTCTGCATGTGAGCAGCTAACTAATATAGAACAAAAAGTTTTCATTGTCTGGAACAACTTTTCACCCAGATTAAAACATCAGGGTGAGGTAAGCTGCAAAGTGTGGAACCTATCTATTTAAACCAATTAGCTTAATCTACTTTTGTCCCATATTCTAGTACATTACATCAATGCAGTTAAGAAATAAATAATAATAAAGTGTTTTAAGCACCTTAGAACACTTAAGATGTTAAGTTTGTTGTTAATCATCACAGCCAGCAGGAGAACATTAGGCAAGATCTTATGATGTCCGCCTTGTAAGACATGTGAAGATAAATTAATTCTACTTTTTTGAAGGTTACATCAACAGAATGTTGCAAGGTTACATTTCTTCCCATCAAATTTACAACCAAGAAGCTAGGGAAGATCCCTTCTGAGCTATTTGCCATGCACACATTCCTGCTGCACACTAAGCTGCTGTGATTGTTTTCCTGGGTGCAGTTCTTCCTTGTTTCCCAACGTCATTCCCACAGATCAGTTTATGTAATTAGTAGTGATGAACTAGAGTTTCCCTCAGGTTAACAGTGAAAAGCGATGGAAGGATTTCTTGGTGCTTTTCATAGTTTTTGTCCAAACTTTTTGTCCTACATTGGCTGGAGGTTCCCATGCAGAGTTACCAATGTGTTTGTCATGTTTCTGTGTGTGTGTGTGTGTGTGTGTGTGTGTGTGTGTGTTTATGTTTCTTTTGCCCAAATAAGTGAAAGAACAAACCTTCCTTCAAGGAGATCTTATTCCTTTTGTGTTTTTCACCTAGTAGCAAATCATCTCACCAGGAAAAATGCACAACATGCCCATAGAATATATATGAGTGGGGGGGGGGGAACACAACATGTTACATTCAACTGAGAGATTGCTTTTGCATGAAACTTATGAGCCAGGTGAAAGGCTGACTACTCAACAGAAACCACATGGACTGTATAGTATGTGCATGCACACACACATATATATACATAAACATTTTCAATTGAAAGAAATAATTTATAATTCTTCTGTGAGCATTGCTCACATTAATTACATGGGAGTAGTGATATGGTGGAGGAAGAATGAGATGAGTTAGGGATACAGAGTGAAGAAAAGAGTTTAGGATTTAGCAAGCAATTTATTTAGCATTTTCTTGAATTTATTGAAGTATCTCTTTGCTCAAAAGAGGGAACCATGATTCCTCCTGGTTAGGGCAATGCTTGATTTAGAGAAGCAAAATATGGATTAGAGAAATAAAAAGCTGAAGTGAAAAATAGGATACACAGTTTATGCAAGACAGGAGATTTCTCTGACAACAATTTGTTATTCAGTACAGAAGAGATTGAATTTAAACAATCAGATACCATTTTTAAATATGGATTCAATGTAAATAACTTTTGAATGAGAAAACTTTAAGGGAAACAGCAGAATATCATCTGGTCAATTTTAAGAAATGTATAGAATAATGAATGATTTTTAATTTGTATACGATATTGCTGGAGATGGAAATAGGTCACTGATGACTTTTGATATAGATTTAAGAAAGCAAATGAGAACTAGGGATTCAGCAAAATATCTATTAGCCTCCATACAAGAATAAATGGCAGTTAATCCCAATAGAAATAATACAGCAATTATTCAGTAAAATGTTGGAAGGGATGTAAATTTAAGGGCATATTTCTTTACCTGTGAAACAGTTATTTGAAATAATTTTATGAAGCACTATAGAAACTAAATTAACTATAGAAACTAAAAGAATAAAAATAAAAAAATAAAAACTGTGACGAAAAACTAGGAAAAAAGTTCAAAACCTCTCTCTCTCTCTCTCTCTCTCTCTCTCTCTCTCTCTGTGTGTGTGTGTGCGTGTGTTTCAATCACAATTTCTCATGAAACTTCTAGGGAGTTGTCACAGATCCTGGGCTTCTGCAGAACTCCAACTGAGAAAAGTTAATCTAGAGAGTGCCTTGCAAGTTAACAAAGTGCTGATGTATCCTGTTAACTGGGAAGTATAAGCAATGCACTTGTTAGTTAATCCTTAAGTATAAACACTGCACTTGTTAGTTAATCCTTAATTAAAGTCACCTTGCCCTGCTTATCTGGGCTTCTAGTCCTGATAAATGTAACTTACATTAAATAATCAGTGTAAGATGAAAGTTAACAATGAAGAAACACTATTTCAATGTACACTAAATTGGCAGCAGAGCTGGGATTATGTGGGAAGGAATCCTGTCCTGTAACTCATCAGTCTTGTGCAAGAATCATGGGTTCTTTTGCAGACGCAACAACTTCTTTAAATAGATTAGGCACATTTCTAAGATATAAAAAATTCCTTTCTAGGTGGAAGATATATATGACAATAGAGCATCATAAAATCAAAAGAAACGTTGCTATTACCAGAGTGAAGTGGCTGAACACAAAAGAAGTAGGCTTTCCCTCCCAATACTAGTAAGTAAAAAACTTAATAAGGTTTGTTTGCGTATGTGTGTCAAGGGTGGGGATGTAATGAAATTGCTTGTCAGTACTTTTATTATTGTTATAATTGTCCTGAGGTTAATGCATCTTGCAGCATTGTAAAGTATACACTTTGTTGTAGAACAATTGATTGTCATCAGGCATTACAACTGTCAATATTACACCATTGGATTTTCTCAAGTTATGTTGTTGCATATTCTTTTATAAGAGATGTTTGCAAACAGGCATGGTGATGTAGGGCTTTTATTACCCAAATAAAATATTTATTAAAAATCAATTTCCTCATATATTAAGGAGATATTTCTTATATGCACATATATTTTCATTATTTTCCCACTACATTATTAAAGATTTGTTCCCTTTCTATCTTATTTTAAATTAATTTTTTACAATTAGAATTCTATTTAGCCTCTCTGTGCTTATTACTCCAAATGCTAATTTTGTCACTACAACCTTTCCTGATCTCATTCCTCCACTTTCCGTTCACTCTTTTACTGCATTAGAGTCTTAGACTTCTGTTTCTTATTCTATTACTCTCTTCAGACCCTCTTTTTTTCCTCAGAATCCCTTGTTTTCTCTTTCCAGCTTGTTTTTTCAAGAATGTCAGTCTGAAGTTGTTTCTTTATAACAGAACATCAATTGCTCATATAATCCTCTTGAAACAAGACCATTCATCACCCCACTGCCATAAAGATATTTGAAAGCTTTAGGATACATACTTTGGTGGGAGACGTTAACAGATGGTTCACGGCTTTGGTGAGAGACAGGCAGAGACTGCCTTTCTCAAATGCTCATTTTTATAATAAGTGATAAGCAAAGACTATTTTAATTCAACTTGCCAACAGAATTAGAACAGATAAGAAATGACAGACCATCACAATTTATGTGGGTAGTCCTCAATTAACAACAGTCCTGTCTACGACTATTCTAAGTTAAAGTAGAATTGAAACAGAAACTTTGTGATCAGATATCACACATATAACTATTGCAGTAACCCTGTGGTCATGTGATCAAGATTTGACCACTTTGTCATCAGTGGATTGTAACAGGTCTCAATGGTCATGTGAATGCAATTTGCACACTTCACAGCAGACTTCTGATGGCAATGTCAATAGGGAAACTGGAAGTTAAATGCACAACTTGGAATTACATGATGTCTCTCTTAACAGTTGCAGAGGTTCATTTGACAACTATGACAGATGTGAGGTTGCAAGTCTGGTGCAGTCATGTGATGTCTTATCTAATGATCATGGCATTTTGGAACAAAGTTGCCAATTGCAATTGTAATTGTTAAGTGAAGAGTATCTGTAGATAAATATACCATAGGAGCATCAAACCTTTTTTAAAAAAATATGCCCAGATCTTTATCTTTTAAAATCTTGTGATAAAGGCAAGAGCATTCAAATCAATATACAAAGCAATTACACATACTAAATTTAATTTTTCTTTCAGTAAAGAGAATAATAAAATTGCTTAATGGAGAATATGAGTTTCTAAAATGTAAGTAATATGATAGCCAGTTTGATGTAGTGGTTAAGGAACCAGGCTAGAAACTGGGAGACTATGACTCCTAGCCGGGGGGGGCGGGGGGATGCTACCGGTTCTGTCCAGTTCTATAGAACCCCTTGTTAACTTTCTAAGCAGTTCGAAGAACCGGTAGTTAGAAGCAATCTCCTTTTGTTTTGTTTTTTCACCCTTATTACAATCTTGCCAGTACTCCTAGACTTCCTGTCTCCAGAGCTTCTGATGCTTGTCTTTCTTAAAGGGGAAGGGTTGTTTTAAGATTTTTACACTGCTGTTGGGAGGAAATAGTTCCCTGGACAATCAGCACTTTGAAGCAATAATTGAATAATGAAGCAAAGCTTTTAGTGACAGGGAACCAAGATGAGTGACATTCAGCAAGGCTTCTTGGCTAGCTAGAAAGATTGATATTCAAACGTGAGTTTACATACCCTTTTGTGTTTTGGTCTAAAACTGGTTTTTGGTGAAGGTTAATTCTGTGCTTGGTGACATTTAATCCTGTGTTTATTGATCAGATAATTTTCTCTATTCAGCTTCAACAAACAACAGCTACTGTTGTGATTTAATTATTTGTATTGTGTTTTATTTTTTTCCTGCCTCATGTTTTTTTTTCCATCTGGGGTGGGGGTCTTCCTTCACCTCTTTAGTACTATCTGGCACTGTCCTTTTGGGTATACTTCTAAGAGGCAGGATGCAACCTTGGCACTGATTTTTTTTCTGGAGGGCATGTGACCTTTCCTTAAATCTGGATGATTTCCTTAAGATATCTTTAAGAGGTGCAAATGGATCTAAGGATTGCTTTTCCTGGGTGTGCTTTTTCTGGAGAGCTTAAATGACCTCTCTGCTAAAGGATTTCACTTTACAAGCAAGAGATAGCTGCTTTATAGTTATCACTGCATTTTAACTATATTCATTACTCAAGCTGCTCTGGCACCCTGCCTGATTTGTAATTCTGGCTTGCAGGTATTTTTAATCTAATGATTGGTATTTAGGGCAGCTTTTTGCAAGCAAAGAAGCTTTTTATATTTTTGACTTACAACAGTTCCTTTAGTGACCATTCAAAGTTACAATGGCACTGAAAAAAGTGACTTATGACTATTTTTCACACTTATGACCATTGCAGCATCCCCACTGTCATGAGAGACCAGATGAGGAGAAGCGCCCCTTGACATGAGTGATGTCAAGTTGGCCATGCCCACCCAGTCACATGACCACCAAGCCACACCCACCAACTAAGCCATGCCTACAGAACCAGTTACTTATACTCAAAATATAACAGGCACCTCCTAAACTTGGTTTTTTAGGACCAATTATGTCAGCAAAAACAACCTCTAAAGGTTCTTTGGTCTTAAACCCATTAAGTCTGTTTGCAGGAGTAACCTTGCTTTTATCTTGACTACAAGCATTACAGTGTAAATACTTGCTACAGGGTTTCAATTTTACTCCCTCTGACAATTCAACAGTTTGTTTGAGCATTTTGAAATTAATGTGTCCTAAACATCTATGTAGTAAATGTATAAATTCATCATGTGGCTTAACATTGTTGTAAACTGAGTTAGCCATCTTCAACTGGTCATCATGTATCACATATAAATCATTCTCTAATGTAGCAACAGCACTTTTACCCTCTTTCTCTATTATACAGTTATCTCCCCTAAAGGTTACTACATAACCAAAATTAACTAAAGCCCTTACTGATAATAAATTAAATTTCAGTTTAGGTATATATAACATAGTTAAATGTTCATTTATGCAAGAACAATATGCAGTACCTTCACCTGATGCGTTCATCTTCCATCCATTTGCCAATGATACATGTTGTTTATTTGTGGACAACTTTACAAACCTGTTTCTATCTTTAGTAATGCATTGTGGTGCTCCACTATCAACAACCCACAAATCATGGTTTACAGTTGAATTGCTAGACATAGCTAAACTAGCATTCTTCTTAGCCTTCTGGTGATTACCAGTATTCTGTTGTTTTCCCTTCTTACAGAATTTAGCTATATGTTCCCCTAGCCCCACAAGAAAAACATTTCCTAACAGTATAGGCAGTTGAAGATAAATCCTCTTCTTGTGGTTGTTCCTTCCTCAGTTGGTCCCTATCCAGTCATCTTCTTGCTTCCTCTAACAATCTTCCAGTAATGTCAGTCAATGTCAGTTTATCTCTGGGCAGGACTTCCAGTGAAGATACATAATCATCATAACTTTCATCCAATGAGAAAAGAATGATATAAACTTGATGCAGCTCTCAAAATATCAGATCTTTTTCATGTAGCTCTTGAAAAGTTCTTTTCATGAAGTTTAAATGAGCTAACATTATCTCCACCTTTCAGAAGACATGCTCTAAACAGTTTACGTGTAAGATGTATGTGTGCACCTCCACTGTCATGAACATAAATCCTCTTCAAATTTTCCCAACACCTAGCAGCAGACTCTTCTCCATGAATATGTACTAGCTGCTGGTCACTCAGTGCTAGTCCAATTATACAAAGAGCTCGTTCGTTGTTTTGTTTAAAGTCAGCAATCTTCTTGGCGTCATCCTCATTTTCTGGATCCCAAGCATTTATATCTGGTGGGTCTTGCACCACATTCCATAAACCTTTTTTACACAGAAGTAGACTGCACTTCATAGACCAGGAAACATAGTTTGTTCCATCCAACTGGGTTATCAGTGATAGACTTGTTGAAGTGTCTTGTGCCATCTTTATGAGGATAGTAAACCACAATTAAACCAAATACCTGTTAAGTGACTTATATTCCTAACAAAGTCTTTGGTAGTTTACCCTGAAAGTTGTAAACAAAGATACAGTAGAAGTATAATTACAGTATATTTTCAAGTTAATAATATGTACAGTCTTCTTGGTGAAAATTCAATGTGGTGAAATCATTTTCTCAATAATCTAAAATAATTTATTGATGTTTGTATCTCTGCTGTATAGAGAAATAAATCATTTCATCTTACTCTTCTGACACTGTTAGTTCAATTGGAATCCATGGGAAGAAGAGAAGTTGAGTTTGTAGCATGAGGCCAGCAATTAAAACAGAAAAAGAAAAAAAAAACTTTTGCAAAGCGTGGAGTTAAAAGCAGAGGTGTCCTTTGAGAACAAAAGCTGAATGAACAGGATGTAATTCTCCTCCTTCAACTGAGCTTACCAGAGAGATGAAATCTACTGAATGTCATCCTCGTCAGGGACAGCCATTCAAGGAACTTCAGAATAATTCCACATGTCTCCTTTTCCAATCAGGACCGAATTAGCTACAGAAGCCATCTCCTAGTAGCCAAACCAACCATTTGTCCTGCAAATCGGAGAAATGATCTGCTGGTTCAGAATGCCATTTCTGGTGGATTCTTCAGAGGCATCATTCTTGTGACCAATCATAATTAGTACTCATATATATCTTGGAAACATTAAATCTAACAGAATGTGAATGGAAAATGAGAGTGCATAGTGTCAATTTCTATACAATTCATTATTTGAAAATGGTTCGGCAAGAAATCAAGAAATTTGCTTATCTCTGAGGCTGCAGAATTGGATGGAGTTATCTTAATCCATTACTCAGCAGAGTAATTCCTGATAATATTTTTAAAATAATAAAAAGATAAACATTGTATAGAACCATAGAATACCAGAAATATTTAGGCAAGTTGGGATCATAACATTCCTTTAAAAAATCACCATTAGAAAAATCAGAAAGAATATTTTTGTGTCT